TATTGGGTTTCTGGAAGAGGTTGACTTTTTTTTTTTTTAATCTACCTGTATGTCAGTGTTTTATGTTTGTGAATACAAGGAAGGAGAATACCAGAGGTGCTGAAATGGAGAGCAGGCCATGTGCCCGGGAGTGAAGGGGTGAGCACAGGGCAGGTGAGCAGAGGTTGGAGGGCAGTAGACAAGGTTTGAAGGGGCTCCGGGGGCGAGTGACAGTGAGCTCGCAGAGGCGCTCAGCGGGGCTCCCGGCCCGCGATGTGGGTCGGGGAGGGTGCGAATCTGCACGTGCGTGTCTGTACAGAGGCTCCAGGCCACCTCGTGTTTTCACGTGGTTCAGGGGACCAGCTCAGCTTTTTACTTCCTTTGCTGACAACCAGTAAGCTTTTCTCTGGCCATCCTCGGAATGTAATTGTCTTACCGTGCGATCCCATGTGCTAGGTTGCGCTCGCTGCCCCGACTGAGACGCCGAGATGGGCTCCCGGGGCTGCCTGTCCGAGCTGCCATCCCGCCCGCGACAGGCCCCACGTGGGGACTGTGTGGCTGTGGATGGTGACAGTAGAACGCTCGACCCGAGGAAGAGCGGTGGCAGCTGGCATCGATGTGAGGCGGTGCCCGGTGAAATTATGTCTTCGTAGAGAAGCTCTGACATTGATGCATGTTATTTTAAAATTCATAATGACTAAGGCAACGCGGAGCCCTGATGAAACAACTCGCGTAGCTCTGCTTTGAAAGACTGGCTGTGCCCACCCGGGAGGGCAGGTCCTGCCACTTGGGTCCGGGGCGCCGCTTCCCACCTGCTCACATGTCCCCCCGCACACGGCTGCGAGTGACCCCGCACGATGCATACCTTTTAAGTCCTCTCTAGTATTTCCAGGGCTTGGTCTTGCATGTCACCTCTTTACCTCCCTCATATGGGGGATACTCACTTTGAAAACAAATCAGGGATCCCTGGATGGCTCAGCGGTTGAGCACCTGCCTTCGGCCCAGGGCCTGATCCTGGAGACCAGGGATCGAGTCCCGCATGGGGCTCCCTGCATGGAGCCTGCTTCTCCCTCTGCCTGTGTCTCTGCCTCTGTGTGTCTCTCATGAATAAATAAATAAAATCTTTTGAGAAAGAAAGAGAAAGAAAAGGAAAAAAAAGAAAGAAAGAAAAGAAAAGGAAAGGAAAAGAAAAAAAAAAGAAAGAAAAGAAAATAGATGAAGCAGACGCAGCAAATGAACCAGGTTAGGGTTTGCTTTCGTCCTCGGACAAGACAAGCTCAGATGTTTTTGTAACTACAGAAGCAACTTTAGTTTCGGGTTAGCTCTTCCTAGAGTTCAAAGATGTTAGAAAGCAGACGAAGAGCAGTTGTTTGCAGATGTTTTCCGCAGGACACCACAGGCCCCACCGGCGAGTTTTCCAGATGTTAGCACCAAGCGGGCGCTGGCACGTGCGCATGTGTGGCTTTGGAGAACCATGTGGCCTGTCTCCACCTGCAGCGGGCCCTCCGGCTGCAGAGTGAACGACAGCAGCTGAGGAGCAGGCCTGGCCTCGCAGCTGCTCTCGGCTCCGTTTGATGACAGGGTGGCTGGGGGTGGGGGTACAGCTAAGATGAGCAACGGAGCTCCCCCACACGTTCTTCTGTTTGAAAAAAGTGAGCACCCTGAGAACAGTGGGTGAAATATGGAAACTGCTCTTGTGATATTTTTACTTGTTGATGACCAAATACTCCTTTAATGCTTACCATATGCCAGGCGCTGTTCTAAGTACATTGATTTTATTATTATTTTATTTTATTTATTTATTTTTAAAGATTTTATTTATTCATTCATGAGAGATACAGAGAGAGAGAGAGAGAGAGAGAGAGAGAGACAGGCAGAGGGAGAAGCAGGCTCCATGCAGGGACCCCCATGTGGGACTCGATCCTGGGTCTCCAGGATCATACCCCGGCTGAAGGCGGCGCCAAACTGCTGGGCCATCGGGGCTGCCCAGAGAACTCCGTATTCTTTACCACAACCTTAAGAGCTGGCCAGTACTGTTAGCCCATTTTACAGGTGAGGAGTCTAAAGATCAGAGAGGTGACATCACTTGCCTGGGGTCACACAGCTCGCTGGTGGCAGATCAGTGCACACTCTGCACGGGTCTCGGTATGAAGTCCTGCTTGTATTTCTTCTAGTGGAGATTCCCGTAGCTTTCAGGATTATTTTTGTTTTTGTTTGGGTTCACAGGAGGCCTTTCTAAAAATTCTACATATAATACGTACATGTGATGTTATTACAAAAATGATGTTACAGTGTGTCCATCTTTTGAGCACTTAACTGTGTGCAGATCCTCCCGTGCCAGACGTTCTCTAGACATTAATTCAAATCCTGAAGGTGCAAGGAAGAGATTTGTGCCCATTTCATAGACGAGAACATGGATGACAGTAGCTGGTCACTCAGCTGACATGCCCAGCCAGGACATGAACCCGGGTCCGCACACAGTTCTTTGTTATAGGACAGAATTAAGTATAAACAGGTCTTTCTTGATCCCCTACCCAAGGAGATGGTGAGCTTCACAAGCACCCAGGGCACCTCACTGCACCAGTGCCTGGGGTGGGGTGGGAGGGCCCAGGTAGCCAGGGACAGTGCCGTGTTGTGCCTGTCGTCCCCGAGCTGGCGTTCACTCCCATGGGCGTCCCAACTTGGATGAACTGCGTGGTCCCCCTACCTGCCCCCCCTTGGGGCTGGGTGCCGCATGGTTTCCAGGCGACTATGTCCCCGGCACCAAGCCCTTAGGGTCCGGCTCCTTTTGATCCAGTGGAGTTTTGAAGTTTTATCTTCTGCTGGGCTTCATTAAGCCGTCAGTGGGTCTGAGGCACCCCCCCCCCCAGTTGTAAATGTTGCATGGTTCTTGGTATTCAGGTTAACAAATTAGCCCAATTAGATGGGTAAATTAGTCATTCTAACTTTCTGAAGTCCTGCTGGAGGAGCTTTGTGAAATAGCATTTATAGTTTTCTAACAAGCAATTTAAAGGACACCAGCATGTGGCATTTGTTTAAGAGTAAAATGTCCTAAACAATGCCCTACTTAAAAACAGATTTCGAAATTTGCTCACAGACCCAGAAACGTGGCAGGGTGCATGCGTCCCTGCGTTGTCTCGGACAGGCGTTTCCAAACTGGGTCTCTTCTTTCTGGGGGCTACAGCCAAGCACAAGAGAGTTGCTGAAACTCACATTTAATTCCACAACCTCCTTTTTTGCTGAACTGCTTTTTTTCTGCACCACCCAAGAGTTTCTTCCAAACAGACTGCTCTGATTTCCATCCGAGTAGGTAGATGGTGAAGGAGCGGCAGCTGCAAGGAGGTTGAAAGGGGCCCCCTCGGGTGGCTGCTGGCCCTGGCAGCCGGAAGCAGGGCAGGGGAAAAGCAACATCCCTCAATAGCTCAGTGAAAGTGCATAAGCTCTTGGACCTCTCTGGACTCGGTTTCCTCGTGTTCAGGGAAGTGCCTGTCCTCCCCACCTCACAGGGCCACTGGAGGATTCCGTGAGGATGATGCATCGAAGGTGCCTAAAACACAAAAGGGGTTCTTGCCTTCCTTCTTGGCCCCTTTGAAGTGTTAGCTTCAGAAGCCGGCGTCCTTGTGCCTGGCTCAATTGGCTCTTCAAACAATCTTATTAATGCCTATTAAAATGAAACCCAATAAAAATGCCAATATTTGGTGTTGAAATAATTGATGTAGCAGAGACAGACCATAGAGCACCCAGGCAGGCCCCTGGTGCAATTTAGCCTCACACCTGGGGGATGAATTTCACAACTGTAATTGCTACCATATAATTCTTATTAATGTTGTGCCATAATTCCTATTTATTCCACGGGGCTTGTAAATGCATTAAGACTTGTCAACATATTATTTTACACTGTTTATGATCTGTAGAATTATGTCCTTCGGGGTTGTATTGTGCAAAAGCTCAAAATAAATGGCTTTGGGCCTCATTAAAAAAAAAGAGAGAGCAAAAAGCGGCTGCCTGTGGAAGTGGTTCTGCATCCCCACCGTCCTGAACAGAAGTCCGTGAAGTAGATTTTTAACTCCATTCTGAGCAGAGCTGGGAATACACGGGACTGGCCCTCCCCCCATGAGCAGTCCGCCCTCCCAGGGAATGCTGTGGACAGCTAGGGAACCCCAGAAGGGGTCCCTGGGACACCCCGGGTGTCCTCCCCTGGAGACAGAATGTGCTAGAGAATTCTTGGCTCTGCCACAAGCTGGAACCTTGCATGTTCTTTTTTTTTTTTTAAAGATTTTATTTATTTATTCATGAGACACACACACACAGAGAGAGAGAGAGAGGCAGAGACACAGGCAGAGGGAGAAGCAGGCTCCATGCAGGGAGCCGACGTGGGACTCGATCCCGGGTCTCCAGGATCATGTCCCGGGCTGAAGGCGGCGCTACACCGCTGAGCCAGCCGGGCTGCCCATCCTTGCATGTTCTTACGGTGAGTTTGGCTCCGAGCTTGAGGCGTTTCTGTCCTCCTGCTCCGTAGCCTGGGGTAAGCCCCTGGCGTCTCAGCTCAAGCCATAAGGAAAAAGATTAGAAGTTCCAAGCGTAGAGGAACCTAGCCAGTGTAGACTGCAGCCCCGTCCCACCGGTTTCGGCCTCTCCTAGGCCAGGAAGCGGGAAGGCGTGGGGACAGGCTTCTGTGCTCCGGAGCGTGGGGCGCAGCCGCGCGGGCACCTGCTGGGCCGGGGTGCCTGTGTCCTCGGTCATTCCCGGCTCGGGCCTCAGAGCCCCCCCAGCCCCTCCGCAGAGTCCGGGTCAAGGGCTGCTCAGCCAATCTCCAGCCCCCCGCGGTTGGGGAGCCCTTAGTCTGGTCTCAGGTGCAAGCGAAGGTCTCGGCCTCGGGACAGCCTGGCGGCCCTGGTGCCTGGGGCGCCCGGGGGTCCGGCCACTGCCTTCCCCCGTCCCGTGGGCGGCCGGGCGCCAGCAGGAGGGGCCGGGCCACAGGCCGAGCGCGGCTGACCGTCCTTGCCTCCTTGGCCCTGCAGGCAGCGAGTACGACGAGGAGGAGGTGGATTACGAGGAGTCGGACAGCGATGAGTCCTGGACCACAGAGAGCGCCATCAGCTCCGAGGCCATCCTCAGCTCCATGTGCATGAACGGGGGGGAAGAGAAGCCCTTCGCCTGCCCGGTTCCTGGATGTAAAAAGAGATACAAGGTAAAGGCCCAAGCACCTGAGCCCTGGCCCGGGGGGGGGGGGGGGGGGAGCAGAGGGGGGGCCGGCCCGTGTCAGTAGCAGCTCCTGGCGTCTGCGGGGCGCCCGGCCTCGCGGCCACACCTGCCCGGGGACGCGCGGGCTCCTGGTTTCGGGGTGCTTGCTGGGTTCCCCCTCGCTGCTCCGTGTGGGAGCAGAGGTCCAGAGGTGGTTTTTCTGGTGGGAGGATTGTGGGTTGTTTTTTTTTATTATTATTCATGAGAGACACAGAGAGAGAGAGAGAGAGGCAGAGACACAGGCAGAAGGAGAAGCAGGCTCCATGCAGGGAGCCCGACGCGGGACTCGATCCCGGGTCTCCAGGATCATGCCCCGGGCTGAAGGCGGCACTAAACCGCTGAGCCACCCGGGCTGCCCAGAAAAGGGGGCTTTGCTCTTTTTCGGCGCAGGACCCGTGCCCCAGAGAGCCTGACTGGTGTCAGCAGCGGCCAGGGACAAAGGGACAAACAGGGAGAAACACCACGACGTTCAGGGCTCGGTCCAGAGGGCACCCTAAAACCCAAACTCGCCGACGTCCCCCTGAAGCGGCCATTAGCAGGCCCCTCACAAAGCCGCCTGTGAGCGGGGACAAGTCGCGGAGCCCCGCGCTACTTTGAGGACGTGCTGACCGGCCCGCGGCTCGGCACCTTGACTCCTGTTTGTAAAAAGGTGTAAAAGGTGTGTGAAGGCATAAGCACTTCTCACGTGGCTCCTAATTGTGTCCCTGAACACTAAACACACAACCCTATTTCAGTGATTTTTTTTTATTTTATTTCTTTGGTACCAGCAGCCGATAGAAGTGGCCGCGGCTCCGCCCGTAGAAAGTGGGCGCTGGTGTCCGCGTGGACGGTCGGGGGCGCTTTGCACAAACCGCAGGCGCCGGCCCAGGCGAGCGAGCCCCACGGGCCGGGGCTGCCCAGGGCAGCCGTGACTCAGGTGCACGCGTAGGTTTTCTGGGTCAGAGGCGCGGGAGGCGGAGGGAAGGCCAGGAGGTGGTCCCCTCAGGAGCCCAGGAAGCACAGGGCGGCCGCACGAGCTCCTTCCTCCCGGGGGCAGCCCTGGCACTGCAGCCCTTTCCCTCTGGGGTTTGTTTTTTTTTTTTTTTGGTTCAAAGTGGAGAAAGCTTAGCCGCCCCTCGGTGCTTGGCATCTGCTGCCTTCTCGCAAGCGCCCAAACGCTGCTTAGGGGGTGTCACGCACATCAACAGTGTTAAAAGGGGGACCAGACTGCGGCAACCCCAGAAAGGGCCGGGGGGAGCCCCAGCCTTTACTCTGGCTGGAGAGGGTGAGCGCCCCCCCCCCCACCCGGCCACCTGTTAGCCTGTCATCATCCTGCTCTTACTGTCCTTGGGTTTCCAGCAGTTTCTCCTACAGTTGTCTACATCCAGGTCGATGGGACTTGAGTGCTCTTCCTGCCCCGAAGGCCGCAAGAGAACTGAGCGAGGCCTGGGCTGCGGTGCCACCACCCCACAAATGACATGGGTGGCAGGCGGTGCTCTTGATTTCCACGAGGGGCTGTGAGTTTCCGTTCCCGGGCCGGCACGCCACGCCGTGGCACGAGGGACGAGAACACGCGCGTGTGGCCTCCCCGTGGGACCCCTGCCGCAGGCGCTGGTGCCCGCCGTGCGGCCGCTGCGTCTTACCCACCGCGCGGCTGTCGGCCTGGCCGTCGGCTCGGGGAGGCTCGAGGGGGCCGCAGCGCGGTGGGGTCAGGCTGCCGTGCCCTTGGTCCCCCGGGCTCACTTCACACTGGTCGCCTCTTGCCCGCTGTTGGCCACAGACCCCGGACCAACTCTCCTCACCATTTCTCGGCATTTGCAGAATGGGAAGATGAGGTGGCCCGCTTGCCAGGCTTCCTACTGAGTAGGGCAGGGCAGGGGGCCCCGGCAGGACAGCTGAGGCTCCATGGCGTTTCCCATATTAATCCCTTTACCTCGGATGCCTCTTCCCCCCCACTCTCCCCATCAGTACCTCTCATTTGAGTCCCCTTCGTTTCTCAAGGCACAGCTCAAACGCCACCTCCTCTGGGAAGCCCTCACCAGTTTCCCAGACTGATCCCCCCACCCCAGACCGATGCTCTGGCCCCCGACCTTTCCATAGCTCTGTTCTTACCACTGGAGAGGAGAGCACGTACCACCTTGGCACCAGGCGTCCGTATGGCTCCCAGACCCTTGCTCAGCCCCGGGCACGGGTGCTTCAGCATGAAAGCACAGAGATGAAGGGACGGAGCCAAATGTGTGGGGAAGAGGACAGTGTGGCCGCCAGCGGGCCACCGGAACCCCAAAGCAGTGGCAGGACTCCTGTCGGCTTTGTCCCAGACACCTTCCAGGCTGAGCAACCGATCCCGTCCACCTGGGTGCTCCTCACTTTTCTTGTGGTTTCAGTCAAGAGAGAGAGGACTCCCCAAGCCTGGAATTGGCAATGGCTTGAAAAGATGGGTTGAAGTGCTTTGAGGTTTCTTTTCCTTTGATGACGTTTAATATTAGAGTTGCCAGAACTAAAGGCATTTTGCTACTTTAAGAAACACAGAACATGTCCCCTAAAAAGTTTCTGTGAAAGGGTCCCTGGCACTACATGGAGAACACGGATGGTTTCAGCGCCACGAAGGAAGCTTGGCCTCCGAGGTCTAGATGCGCAGGCAGCAGGTGTGTTGCTCACGGTTTTCTGAGGGCAGCTCAGCCCTTCTCCCCCCTCAGCGGATCTGAGCCTCCCTCCCTCTTCTAAGGGCCCCATCGGAAGCCCTGGAAGACAGGCTTTCCGGGTTGTAACTTGGCAGCCAACAATCAGAACTTAAAAAAAAAAAAGTCCATATATTCCTTACTCCATGATTCTCCTAAAAATGTATCCCAAGCACATCACCAGGGATGCAAACACTGATATACAAGCGTGTCCATCACAATAGTTACAGTCAGCACAAATTTGGGAATTACTGAATTTCTAACAATAGGGAAATGGAATAAAGTACTGTCATCAAAACCCTTCTTTCAAAAAAATACTTCATGGGGAGTCCAATCTCCTTTGTCTCGTGGGAAAATAAGGAAGGTACTTCAGATGTTAGTGATTATACCTGTTTGGCTTTTTAAAAGATTTTATTGATTTAGTCATGAAAGAGAGAGGCAGAGACACAGGCAGAGGTTAGAAGCAGGCCCCATGCAGGGAGCCTGATGCGGGACTCGATCTCGGGACTCCAGGATCACGCCCCGGGCCAAAGGCGGCGCTAAACCACTGAGCCACCTGGGCGGCCCAGTTCTGTCTTTATGTCCCTTTGTATTTTCTACATTTCGACAGTGGCCCATGCTGGGCACAGATGGCGTTAAGAGGGGCTTGAGAGATGTGGTGCCCACCTGACGCAGCCCGGATGTTGCAGGTGCGGCCGGGCCAGCGGGGTGGCGCCTGCACTTCACGCTGCTGCCAGCGGCTTTATTTTCCACGCTAATAACATTTCCACCCCTTCCAACCCCAGCTTCTGTGTTTTAATTTTTCATCAAACCCCGGACTTCATCCTCTCCTTTAAGTAGGACATCAAGGCCTGCAGGAAATTTAAAGGTAACGGGTTTTATCTCAAGGGCACATGTCCACATCTTGTACCTCCTCGGTCTCAGTACTGACAGAGATCAAATACCGTCCAGGACACCGTGGCCCCCCTTGGCGTCCGGACTGTGATTTGATCTGGACTGGCATTTTGAGAAGCGCCTGGAAACTACTGGTTGTCTGCTGACCGGCTCCGTTCCCGGGTCAGGGCAGGGAGCTCCTGATGCTAGAAGCTGCATGGAAATGAGCCGCTGCCCTCCACCCACCCAGCCGGGCAGGCCCTCCCTCCCTCCACCTCCTGCCCGGCCCCTTCCTCCGCACGCATCCCCGGGCCTGACCCCTGGAGCCCATAGACCGTTTTCTCCAGCTGGAATGTCCCAACCCTTCCCAACTTGCAAGGTGGTTCAAAGAGGTTGTACTAAGTACCTAGCACGTGAGGTACCTGGAATTCTGGGGGACATGTGGACTCTGGAACCAGGCATCCCAGGTCTGTCGTTTACCTGCTCGCTCACCTTCTGGAGCATCTGTTCATCTCAAACAGGAGTACGGGGTTGGCCAGGCATCCGGCACTCAGCCCGAGCAGCTCTCGAGCCTGCCCTCCGTGACCCCCCTTTTCCTTGCCGTTTCAAAGCTCCATTCTCCTTTACTCAGAGACCAGAGGATTTAGGCATCTGGTTTTCAAGTCACCTGCCATTTTTTTTTGGTGGTGTTACTCATATTTCTGAAAGACCAAACTTCCATCAGGATGTCTGCAGTGATCAATGTCAGCAAATCTTTTAAAAACCTCAAGTATTAGTAGAAAGTAAAAACCCGGGGATCCCTGGGTGGCTCGGTGGTTTAGCACCTGCCTTTGGCCCAGTGTGCAATCCTGGAGTCCTGGGATCGAGTCCCGCGTCAGGCTCCCGGCATGAAGCCTGCTTCTCCCTCTGCCTGTGTCTCTGCCTCTATCTCTTCTCTGTGTATGCTCATGAATAAATAAATAAAATATTTTTTAAAAAAAGAAAGAATCCCCACCGCTATATGTGAATGAACAGACGGACAAACCCTGAGGCGTACTAACATTTGCCCTGAGGGGAGGAGGGTGCCCCACTGACACTCAACAACATTTTAAATCACAGCAACAAAGACAGTTAATGCAGGTTTTTTTTAGCTTCTTCGGCCAACCCTGGACATGCCACAGTTTCCAAATGTGCACTTGGCTTACTGGTTTTCCCAGAGTAATAAAGCAAATGTATGGAGTGAGCTGTGTCTTCCTGACAGTCTCACAGCCAGACACACAACACGATGTTTACATTGAAGCTGGGAACAGACCACAGAACCTGCTGAAATCACCTCAACGTTGGGCTTGTCCTTCTGGTGAACTCCAGATCTGGTCACGTTGGATTGGCTTCTTGTGGCTTTAGCAATTTCTGGTTTCAGGTTTCCCCTCCCCTAATTTATGATAAAAGCTCAGCCCCGATGGAGTATTTAAGCCCTGTCCCTATTGGAGTTGCCATGCATTTTGGCTTGTTAGTCAAATGTTTTTATTTTGGGTTTTCCCCTATTTTCTGACAAGTTATAGGACTCTAGGGCATAGGGGTAGCTGGACATTTAGTGACCCATCTTTGCAACAAGTTCCTGTGAAAACAAGGACATGAAATGTTTGAATCACCCTTCATCTACAGAAAAGGACCCTACTAGGTGAAAATCTGTTGAGCTAATAGGTGGGATATTAGTAAGCAGACAAATGCAAATTTCTAGTATTGTATCCAGGAGACTTCCTAATTTGTTATTTCATAAGTTGATGGTGCTTCCTAATGGTCATAAGCCTTTATTTCAAGTAGCTTAAAACTGTTCCTATTTTTCATGGTTCTTCGGGTTGCCTGGCACCAGCTAGGTGCTTCCTGCCTGGGCGTCCCATGCAGTTGCAGGAAGATGCCAGCTCAGGCTGGATACACGCTGGCTTTACTCAAACCCCTCAGCTGCTTCTGGGATGGCTGGAACAGCAGCAGGCTGGCAGGGGACCCATCATGGTAATGGGTCTGATTTTGCCACCATCCCTGCTCTCCCTGTATCCCTCGACAGCAAATTCTCCCCAACATGCCTCTAGAACAAGAGTGAGGGGTTTCCTTGCCCTGCAGGCAAGGACTGATGCAGGACAGACAGAAACACAGAAGGCCAAGAGCCAAGTTCAGGGTGGAAGGGGTATTTGTGTCCTTGTGCTTGGACTCAGTTGACAACCGTAGGTCCCACTCTGACCTGAACACAGCCAACTAGCTGCTATTTGGCCCCCTTGGGTTCAACTAAGTCAAATGGGATTCTCTACCAAAGGACTTTTAAAAAGTACTAATGTGCATTATGAATATCTAAAAGGGAAACATAAATAGAAATAACCACTTAACACACTTTAATGGAAACTGTTAATTCCAGAAGAGCGAACCATGTTTAACCAATTCACTCACAAATGCTTACTGAGCATCTACTGTGGGCCAGGCAGTGGCAGATGCTGACACAAGAGCACTCGGTCCCTGTATCTGGGAGCTCAGTAAGAGCATCTTATGCATAAAGGTCAAGACCACTGTGATGGGGCAGCCCCGATGGTGCAGGGGTTTAGCCCGGGGTGCAATCCCTGCATGGAGCCTGCTTCTCCCTCTGCCTGTGTTTTTGCCTCTCATGGAGCCTGCTTCTCCGCCTGTGTTTTTGCCCCCCCCCCTCTCTCTCTCTGTCTTTCATGAATATAAAAATGAAATCTTTAAAAAAAAAAAAAAAGACCATTGTGTTGGAATCCTTTAGCTGGTCTCAGGACTACGCTCAGTGAGACTAGATTCATATAATACTTTCGGAAACAGCCCACTCCTCTGGTGATCAGTTCTTAACAATTTTGTCTCAAGCCCTTTATTTTCTCTTCCCTTACTCCCAAATCTGGCAAGAGCTCACTTGGGAATTGATACCTGTGCTCTAATATTACCGCTATTTATTCTTTTCTCATCTCTTCCATCAGTTACTTCAGTGCCTATTTTCTCACCATTTAATTGGGATGAACAATAGTAAAATAAGTCTGTGGAGTGATTTTAGGCAGGAGTCTTACATAGAATATTCTAGTGCAGTAGCAAAACCAGTTACTAGAAAACCAAAAAGCATTTTGATATTTTATGTATCACTTGGGATTTGTATGCCAATTTGAAGTTTGGAACTCTTATGTTGCTGACACTTAAATAACCTAAGATTTTTAACGTTTATTGTATGTTTGGAATGCAGTACATAAACATGAGGCCCAGTCTTGCCCACGTTGCTTATTTAACACACACGACTCTGCCAGCACATGATTTAGGCAAGGAGCTCCCACAGTGAGACACACACTGGCTTAATGCAGAGTAGAGAATGGACAAAAATCCTAGGTAAGGTAGGTTATTCTCACAGCTGTCTGGAAACAATATAAGCTGTGTTTCTATATCAAGGATTTATTTATGTCTTGAATTCTATTGCCCAGTGTTTTCTATCTTTAAAAAGACCACTTAAAAAAAATAAAAATAAAAAAAATAAAAAAATAGACCATTTTTTGGCCATCCCAAGGATATGATACTATAGTTGTTTATTGTTAATACTCTTTCAAGTAGAAAAGAAAATCCAGAGAGGAATCAAAGCTCTAGGCAGAGGAAACTGTGCTTCCTTATACAGTCTTAAATACATATTCTGCATAAAATTTGAGGAAGCCAGTACTTTCATTTTCGGAGTAACTGAGGCCTAGTTTGCAACCCAGTCTGCACAGCCTATGATTAGACTCCTTGAAACGGAGTTCACGCAATGCCTACTATGTACACACCTGCCATCCAGGAGATGTTCAATTTTAATCCAGACCCACACGAAGCAAACGTCCCCGGTCTGACATTTTGATTGCATCTAATAGGTGATGTTTTGTCTTCTCCACAGAATGTGAATGGCATAAAGTACCACGCTAAGAATGGTCACAGAACACAGATTCGTGTCCGCAAACCATTCAAATGTCGTTGTGGTAAGAGTTACAAGACAGCTCAGGGCCTGCGGCACCACACAATCAATTTCCACCCCCCGGTGTCGGCTGAGATTATCAGGAAGATGCAGCAATAACATGCTGGTCATAACTGTGCCAAGAAATCCTCACCAGCAGTTGCTGATTTTGAAAACAGCCACCTTTTTTCAGGGGAAGCATTCAGCAACCCTTTAAAGAATTAAATGCATGCTTTAAATTTTTTCTGTAATTTTGGAATGATGTATCTTTGTAGAGTTAATGATTTTGTACATTTGCACATGTAATCATCATACCCATTTTCATTACTTTGATATAAGGTGCTAAAAAAAAGAAGCTCTAGGTTCTTCAGCACATTTCCCCCAAAACAAAATAAAATTGAGGGCATGTTGCATATTATTTAGTTGTATTGCAGTGATATCAATGGGGGGAGGAGGGGCTGGCACTGAGATTTTCTTTTCCAAGATTGTAATGTGATTGAAATTTTTCAACACATCAACTCACTATGTTCAAAACCAAAATAATACCTTCATTATCAAACTGGTTACCATGCCTTACATAATGGAGTTAGTATTTGTGAGTAGAAAGACTTTAGGTAATGGAAATATAAATAAGAATGTTTAACATAATATGCTAAAAATATTTTCATATTTAAATAACATACATAAAAGGTGTGCTTTCTGTGTTTTATATTATCTTGCAAATCCTTTTGCCCCTTAAAAAGCTGAAAATCTTGCCATCTGACTTACCAATCATTTATAGTGTTATAAATGGCATTTTTGTACAAAATAGTCTATTCAGTTCACTCGTTAACACACATTCATTGAGTGCCTGCTGGGTGCAAGGGATTTGGTTTATGCCTATTGATATTTCTGGACCAAGATAACAGTTTAGTGAAATACTTTTCCCTGAAATCTGTTAGGAAACACTTTGAAATACTTAAAGTGCAAATTTTGTGTGTGTGAAATTTAGTTCTATCTTCATCTTTAGGTGAAGTTTTAAAGCACTTTGTAGTTCTCTATTGCCAACAGATTTAATGTTTTATGTGTTGCCAATTCTTGCAACCACTGCCCTAACAAACCTGTGGGTTGCAAATAAGAATTAAAATTCCAAGCACGTTTCAAAGAGAACATTTTTGTTAAGACCCCCTTTATTGCCTCTTCTTCATGCTCATTGTGTTTTTAGACTTTTTTTTAAAGGCACTTTTTCCATCACATCGTAGAGGTCTCTATTCCCATTGGCAATGTCTGTTTAGCTTTATAACACATTTTGCTGAAATACGAAATTGAGCCTTATTGACAATTAAGTGCTTCTTGCAGCAGGTGGTCAAAGAGTGACTAGTATGACCCGTTAGAGTGACCTACGTCTGGACCATTCCTGAAGTTTTTCTCACCAACAATACCATCATGCCTTGAGTGTTCTTTTCTCCCAAGTGCTTTTCCTTAAACATACAAGAGTTTACCAATTGCCTCATTATGCAATAAAAATTGCTCTGAGATGGCTAACTGCCCACAAAACTGGTGAAAAGCAAACATGAAGTGCTTACAACATAACTTTCTTTCCATGTTTCCATTTGATGAAAGTCTTACAGCTGGGAAGCAGGTGTCCCTCCTCAAATTTTCAGACAGTTCGAAAGGATGATAGCCCTGCTGGCCAGATGGGTAAGCTTCTATATTCTTCAGTTGTGAATCCCTCATAATGAGAGATTTTAAAGTAAAGTATTTATAAAGACACTGCCCTCTAAAAATTTCCTGAAGAGTGGTCTTGGTCCTGAATATACAGTGTTCTGTGTTTAAAAGGGTGATCCAGACATGAGAAGCAAACTAGTTGGTGCATAAGAAGGCCCTACCTGGATATTTCATATCTACCTACAATTGACCAAAATTTTTTAGGCCAGCAGTTATTATTTAGCTTTGCTCCTTCTAGTGCAAGAAACTGTAGGCTGTATCAGTAGTTCAACAGCTAAACAGTCATTAAATAGTCATTGTGCATGTTAAATTTCTTTCAACTATAAAACAAATTCAATTTCTATTTACTTATTCATTGTGACAGTATTACTAAACAGGTAAGGATGGGAATATTTTGTTATACCGTGTATAGTGAATGTATTGTACTGTGTCTGTGAAAATTGTGCTTTAAATTATATTTTCATATGTTTTGTTGGGGACAGAGCACATTAAGTTTGAAAGCAACAGAGGTTTGTTTTAGAACTGAAGGCAACTTAATCAAAATTGCTGTCAAGAAAAGCTGCTTATAAATGTAAATGAAATCACATTTAAAATAAACTGCCTCTGACCCAAAATAAAATGGCTCTTTATTTTTATTAGTGTCCATTACCACTCTAATATTGGAAGGATACTTTTAGGTTGGCATGCCCCGTAATTAACTGATGCAACATGAAAATGCTACCACTGAACATATTTTACCTGCCATCTCCCAGGAAGGGAAGACATGGAGTCTTCAATACTACTGCTTTCCAGTCTGCCATATCTTGTTTTTGCCCTTCACTCAAAATTTGTAAAGGATTCCAGCAATACAAATTCTGCTTTCAGAAATAAACACAAGCAACATGTGTATGCAGTTCACACACAGCACACCATAATGCCACCACACTGAGTACTAGGTTAACATCCTAGCTAATTTGCTTAAGACAAGCTTAAATATTTTGATAACTACAAAAAGCAAACTCAAAGTCCATAAATTCTTAACGTTAAAAGAGAAATAACCATTCAGAAATTTGCTTAAAGGCCCAGACCAAAAACAAATAAAAGTTTAGACTTAATGAAAAGCTACTGCAAATTTTCAAATAAATGTGACAATTAACATCTCCAAAAAAGTGTCCTCTTTAATGATAATGAGAATACTATACAGAGACATAATGAACACATTGATTTGCATTTATAATCACATTTTAATCAAGAAGATGTGAAAAAGATATGGGTACATTTTCTGTGATTTTATCCCACAAACACCACTGTTTAGATCATTTAATATGAAACAACTGCACTATAACCTATCTTGTTCCATTTTCCTATTAGATAGAAATACAACTTCAAGATGGCTTAAAAATAATCAGATCGGTCTAAAATGTTTTAGTCATAAAATTAGCAAAATATGCCTTCTATTCCTAAAAGCAAACATTTCAAATATAAAAAGGTGTTTGCTATACTGCAAGCATGTGATCTCATTCTACATGCAGCTCCATTTCTAAAGGCTAAAAAACCTCCTTTCATGGGCTATATTATGGAAGCTTCTATATTCAAAGAATTACTTTGCAAGACTGTAAATGATAAATTACTTTTATTACATAATATTTAGTAGTCATGCTCAATCAACAAGGTCAACAGAAACTTGTAAATATGCTAAATGACACACTCTACATACATATATTTTCAGTGTGGCAACATTAAAGTAATCATTTCCTTTACTGATATAGTTTTGCAAACTGGGGAATAAATAAAGATACAAACACAGAAAAACTTTTCTTAAGCTGGTAAGATTTTTTTTTGTTGTTATTAAGCTGGTATGATTAACAAGGGTTACAATTATATTTTATTGATAAGCTGAAGACTGACTCTGACCCTAGTAACACAAAACTCAAAAGTAGCACTTGGTCAGAAAAGTGTGGTAGAGGGTGCACATAAGTGATACCTTGTGGTCTCCATAGTGGTCTATTTGAGGTGATTTTTTTTTTAATTGCTAAATTGTATTATTAACTCATAAGAAAAAGTAACTAGTCAAAATTTAAAACATTCTGGTCAAAATGGGTTTGCACATGCCTCTCAAAGCCCTGTTGGTCATAGTCAGGAGGGAACTGCTCGCTGCACATTGGACACACCTTCCAGTGACTTTCAACATGTTCTTCAAATTTGCTCTGATCATAGTTGGGAGGGAACATTAATTCACAGAGGGGACACTTCTTGTGAACGTCAAAGCTTGAAGAAATAGGAAAAGGAAAGAATTACATATTTCTAATAAGTAAAATTTCTAACAGCATAATCTTCAGAATATGACAATGTTATACTTATCTAGTTAAGCTGATATTCACTCTGAATATTCACTCTGACTTACCTTGAAAATCTTCAGTTATTTCAGAAACTTCTTTCTGCTTCTAAATACTTGCTACTAACAATTATGTAAACCACTCATAAAGCCTCTAAATTGAGTTTCACAGTGACAAAAAAATTTGTTAAAAATCCCAAAAATTCAACCATATTACATAAAATGAAGATTAACAAGAATTCCTCAATCTTTAATTATAGTTTAACAAACAGCATTTTCTGTTAATAATTAATGAGCTTATAATTTCCCAACAGGATTCATCCACTTTAACTGAGTATTTATTAGCCCTGGTTCTCAAAGGACCGCATGCATGATAATCACCTGGAGAATCACCTAGAAGCATGTTAAAACACATATTGCTGGGACCCACACCAAGGGTTTTGGGTTCAGAAGGTGTGGGGTATAGCCTGATCATTTGCATTTCTAACAAGTTTCCAGGGACCATACTTTGAGAACCATTCATCTACATTATCCAAATTCTACAGAGGAAAGAGAAAAATTACCTGGAATCAAAGCAAAATCCTGTTCCATGCCCACGTAAATGCTGACTTGGAGGATCAGGAGCAGTGGGCACATTCTCATCTTCCTAGGCAAAAAATAATTTTGCAACTTTTGAGAAAAATGAAACAACGTAAATTCCTTAATTCAAGCATAGTAGAAAGGAATTAAGATTACCTTTTTAAAAATTTTACTTGTTATCAATTAGAATTTCACATACAGATTTATTTTTTTTAAAGATTCATGAGAAACACAGAGGGAGGGAGGGAGGGAGGGAGGGAGGAGGGAGAGAGAGAGAGAGAGAGAGGCAGAGAGACACAGAGACACAGGCAGAGGGAGAAGCAGGCTCCCTGCAAGGAGCCTGATGTGGGACTCGATCCCCGGTCTCCAGGATCACACCCTGGGCTGCAGGTGGCGCTAAAACGCTGTGCCACCGGGGCTGCCCTAAATACAGATTTAAAAGTCAATTTTTACAAAGCATTTCACTATAAACTAAGTCTTACCTTTTTGAAATAAAAAGCAGTACTTAGTAGAACAGAGAACAAACATATCACACCTCTATGTGTGAATAAAGTATGAATCCATAGACTTTTTTGAACCAATATGCAGGTAACCTTTTATCATTCCATACACTAGGTGACTGAATTCATAAAAATCTTAAGACTACATTATTTTTCCTATTATTCTCATTCAATAAATCTGTAAGACAGTACCCTCTTTGACAACATACATCCCACTGCATGATACATAGAAATTATAGAACTAGTAAAATACAAGTTTGCAAGTGTATGTTCTTGGGTACACACACAAGCTAATCGAACTGGAAAACTATGTTAAAGATGTACCAAACCACCGACTTCAAAATCCTGTCATGAAAGAATGAAACTCAGTATTAAATATCTAAGAGACTGTCAAGGAAGATTCCTAAAAATCTATATATAAATCTGAAAGACAACACTGGTTTGGAGTTCTATGCCCATACATCCCTGTGGTTATTAATTTTTTTTTATTTATTTATGATAGTCACAGAGAGAGAGAGAGAGAGAGAGAGAGGGAGAGAGAGAGGGAGGCAGAGGGGCAGAGACACAGGCAGAGGGAGAAGCAGGCTCCATGCACCGGGAGCCTGACGTGGGATTCGATCCCAGGTCTCCAGGATCGCGCCCTGGGCCAAAGGCAGGCGCCAAACCGCTGCGCCACCCAGGGATCCCTATTAATATTATTTTTAAGTGGGCTCCATACCCAGTGTGGAGCCCAACATGGGGCTTGAACTCACAACCCTCAGATCAAGACCAGAACTGAGATCAAGAGTCAGACACTTAACTGAGCCACCCAGGTGCCCACACCACTGTGGTCAATTTTTAGAGATCTGTATGCTCTGAATCAACAGCCAAAAACAGACCCACTTCATATCAAAAGCAATAACATCTCCCACATGCCCATTTACTTTCTTCTGAGCAGCTCTGTTAATTGTTCTCATGTTATGAACTAACAGTATATAAACAAGTATAGCAGACAACGATGAAAGTCTTTATATTATATTGCTGGGTAGTTACACTTGTTCCACAGCTGCCATTAACAGGCTAAGTAGTCAAGTCTGTCATGGTAAGAGGCACCAAGAAAGTGTGTATGGTGTGAAACCCAAAGGAAACAAAAGACAAACTGACTTATCTTTTTGGGAGAGTAAGAGGTAGGGGAAGTTACTTGGCTATTATTCTGGTGATTATCCCTTCCTGAAAGGTCCAAGAAAGGATAGGGGGCTCTTTTTTTTTTTTTAAAGGGTTTATTTATTTATTCATGAGAGACAGAGAGAGAGAGGCAGAGACACAGGCAGAGGGAGAAGCAGGCTCCATGCAGGGAGCCCGATGTGGGACTCGATCCTGGGACTCCAGGATCACGCTCTGGGCTGAAGGCAGGTGCTAAACCACTGAGGCACCCAGGGATCCCGCAGGGGGCTCATTCATCACATGAGAAAATATTTTGTTTACACAATTCCTCACTAAATAACCCACTATGTACGTATTTTTCCCAGTGTGGTAACATTAAAATAATCCGTTTCCTTCCTTTGTATAGTTTTGCAAAGTGGGAAATAGATACAAAACAGAAAAACAACTTCTAATCTTTAGTAAGATTGAAAGAGGTTATAATTATATTTATTGACAAACTGAAGACTGACCCTGGCCCTCCTAACACCAAACTCAAAGTAGCTCTTCATGAGAAAAGAGGGTGCACAGAAGTGATACCTTGTAGTCTCCATTATGGCCTATTTGAGGTGATTTTTTAACTGCTAAACTGTATTACTAACTCACAATAAAAAACAGTCAAAATTTAAAACATAAAACTCAACTTTCTAGGAACCAAAAATATAGCCTATACCAATCTACTGCTTCCGTGAATCAGCTAACAGAGTTTATTGCTAAAGTGCTAGACTTATGTCAACCTATATGACAGGTTAACCATGGGATGAGGGAGCAATTTTTTTTACTTTTATACTTTCTAAGCCATATATAATTTGGTAATGATAGACCCCCATTATTCTGTCTTTATCTTCTACCACATATTACCTAATAAAAGGGGAAAGGGACTCAACAGAAGAATTCCAGAAGTTGTAAAGAGACATAGTGCTCATGAAATAAGAAATCACCTACTCAGAGAACAGTTAGAAATCAGAAAGTGTGTCATAAGTTCTCTGAATAGCCAATTCATATAAGATCTCTTGACCCTAACATGCAAACTGACCAAATTTTCACTCACAAATACATTTATTCTATTTTACTCATCAAGCTTGGCTAATTAACTTTCAAAATCATACTGGATTAAATACAACAAATGAGACTGGGAAGTAAGGTTACTCAGGCAGGCCTACTGTCAGCAACAAAAAATGGCTAAACTAGTAAAAAGAAACGCAGACAAGAACTCAGAATATCCAGTATTTTAGCACTGGATCACAAAGCTTTACTAACAAAACATGGAGATACTGTTTAATGCTCACTTTTAAATTAGTAAACTTGAATCATCAAGGTTATATTAGGTATTCTTTAAGAAGGCAGAGAATCGGGCATCTGGATGGCTCAGTTGGTTAAGCGTATGCCTTCAGCTCAGCTCATGATCCCAGGGTCCTGGGATTGAGCCCCGCATTGGGGTCCCTGCGCAGCAGTCTGCTTCTCCCTCTCCCTCCTTGTGCTCTCAAATGAATAAAATCTTCTAAAAAATAAAAATTAAAAAGAGAATCTTATTTTTTAAGATTTTATATTTATTTATTCCTGAGAGACACAAGAGAACCAAATACACAGACAAGAGGGAGAAGCAGGTTCCTCACAAGGAGCCCGATATGGGACTCGATCCCTGGACCGGGATCATGCCCTGAGCCAAAGGCAGACAGACGCTCAACCACTGAGCCACTCAGGAATCCCAGAATCATGTATTCTATTTGAGAAGGATTTCTGTCCCAAACTCCCAAAATAATTACATTTTAGTACTGAAAGTAGTCAATGCAAAAATATTTTTTAATAGGTTTTAAGGTGTAAGTACCCAAGGGAGAAGCACACTCCATGCAGGGAGCCTGATGTGGGACTCGATCCCGAGTCTCCAGGATCAGGCCCTGAGCGGAAGGCAGGCACTAAACCACTGAGCCACCCGGGATACCCAAGATGGTAAACTTATGTGTACTCTATAACTACAAAAAAAATGCAATCATGATTAAACTAGCAATATACATTGAGGAGCTAATGACTGAGTTACACACCTGAATCATTAAGACAACAGAACTATATAATCAGCATATCTCAGACTGTGCTTTAATTCTGCCTTTGCTAAGAATTATTAATGGGAATATTTAGTATCACTCAGGAATTAATAATGTCAAGGAAGAAAGGTCCACCACTTAGTAAAGCTTTTACTAAGCTGATAAGAATTACTTTAGTTCAATAGCATACAAAACATTTGCTAAGGCCAAAGTTAATATGTAAGAGAAAAGAGTTGGGCAGCCTGGGTAGCTCAGCGGTCTGGAACTGCCTTCATCCCAGGGCATGATCCTGGAGACCCGGGATCAAGTCCCACATTGGGCTCCCTGCATGGAGCCTGCTTCTCTCTCTGTCTCTCTCATGAATAAATAAAATCTTAAAAAAAAAAAAAAAGAAAGAAAGAAAAGAGTAACAATGACTGTTTAACTTTTATATAAAACTATAGTTTATCTGTATCCCTGAAACTTTGTATTATTACATAGTATTAGTCAACATTCTCCTTTTTATGAGATGTTACTGTTTAAGTTCTGCCAAATATCCAATTATAGTAATAGGGCATGTCAATGAAGGGTGTCACTAAATTCTAACTACATAAAGATATTTAAAAATGAGAAAGCAGACTTCCAGGAAAGAGAGTAGTAGGACCCTCTATTTACCTGGCCCCAGGCTAGATAACGTATCAGTGCAAATAACCCAAAAAACAACTTGAAGACTGGAAGAACAAAACTCCAAAACAAAATGTAGAGAAAGGCTACAAAGAAGAGGGTAGGAAGAGCAGAGATGTGGTGGGGAGCTAAACCCTTCAAGTGTGGCTACCAGAGGGAGCCAGAGGGGCAGAGACGTTTAAGAAGCAACTATCAACACCAGGAGCCTACAAGGAAAAGACAAATCCCCATAGTATTTGGCTTTGAATACTGGGTGGGCCAAATTTCATGAGTTCTTAAAACCAGCTGGGATTTAAATCCTCTAGAACTTTAAAAATCAGCAGGCTCAATCTGAGAAAGCCCAGAGGGCAATGGGAAGCTGAGCCATCCTTACTGAGACAGCCCAGCAAACAGCCCACAGAGATACAGGTAGAAGCAGCAGCCTGAACAGGGCTTGGGGCATACAGAAGGGAGAGTTAGTTACTGAAGTCAGAGTTCCTTGAATAACTTCTCTTAAGCAAAGAATCTGGCAGGTGCCATTTCTCTTCCGAGCCACTGTCCCCAGCATAATCACATGGTCACCATGTGACTGGGAACCAGCAGGACATCAGCAGACACTAACTTGCTTACACCATGCCCCACACCCCTCCAGCCAAGCCTGCCTTAGTCCCAGTACTCTGGGTCCCCTCCCTGAGACAACCTGC